GAAAACATCTTAATAAAAAGTTTGAAAGTTAATTCTTCTGTGAAGTTAAGTGCATTCCTTGGCCTGTATTTCATTGAAAAATAAATTAATTGCTTATAAGCATTCAGTTTAAGTGAGAGTGTTGAATTTAATCGATATTTATTTTTATGTTTTTTTATCATTATCATATTAATTAAGATGTAGATTGTTTTGCTATCATTATGGATGGGAATATGTTAGGATGTCCTACATATATTTATAGTCTAGCTTATTTACGACTAGATCTATTTAATAAAAAAAATCAGATTTAAATTTTTTTTAAAAGTCTATTTCATTAAAAAGATCTAACTTAGGTTATTAAAAAACTCTATGATACCTTATAGACCGGTATATATTCATGTACATTAAAAATAATCTAAATAAATTGGTATATATATATATATATATATATATATATATATATATATATATATATATATATATATATATATATATATATATATATATATATATATATATATATATATATATATATATATATATTAGAAAAAAAGTTAAATAGATGAACATATATATGCATGTATGGTCGGTCTATAAGGCTTCTTAAGTAATATGGATTAATTGAAAACCTTAATAAAAATAGACTTTCAGGTTAGTCAGTACTTTTAAAAAAGTCAAATCAGACCAAAAAATAAGGGGATTTCTTACCACACCTTACGCTTATGAAAAGAGCCCTCAGAAAACCCAATTTTGCCCCTGTATTCCCATATGTGTATCTTTGGGACGCACCTTTTTTTGTTAAACTTCAGTTATTCCCGGATATGCGTATACGGGAGGAAACTAGAAATGCAATCTCGGTTAATTAGTGTGAAAAGTTGAAAATTTTGCCACCTTTGAACGTCAAATATTACCAAAAGTGTATTTCCAAGAAAATCAAAAACAAAATTGCTTAAAACATCAACTATCATGAACCAGGATGATCACCTTCATTTCCAAAACTTTTCATAAACTCTGTCCAAAAATCCTTCCGTTCTCAATCAATTATTTCACTCCAAATCTTCATTTTTGTGGTTTGTCATATCAAAAGGAGCTAAAGAAAGTGAAATTTAAGGTAAATTTCATTCATTTCAACTCATATTCATCATATTAATCTGGTTTTTCATGAAAAAAATGTCATCTTAATACTGGAAATATACTTCCGGATACATAGTGAACTTAATTGGATTCACCGGAGACCACTGACTTGAAACCACCCTCTAAATTGGTAAAAATGAAAGGAGCACCTAAAAAGGTGAAACCTATACTAGGCGATAGTTTAGCAACGAGGAGTCTATCATATTTTGAACATGTTGACAAAAAAATTCTCGATTCACCGACTCTGAAATCTCAAAAAGTGTTTTCAAAGGAGTTTGCATTAGCAAACTACCTCCTACACCGACTCCATCAAAAATACCATCCATCGAGGAGATGTCGATTTTTATGCACAATTACGTTGAACGGATTGTCAATGTTAAGGGTGACGGTAACTGTAATTTTCATATTGTTTCTGGTTTGCTCGGTAAAGAGGAAAAAGATCACCAACTTGTTCGTGATACTCTTATCAGAGAGTTGAGGAGTAATATAGAATTATACACACTGGTGCTTGGGACTAAAGAAAAAGTTGAAGAGATTTATCACGCTCTTGTACCTTGCGTCGGTGGATTTGCACTAGAGGAAAAATGGATGTGCTTCCCTGAGATGGGTCATCTCATAGCAAGTGTGTATGAGAGAGTGAGTATTAATCTTACAAGATACGGCTTCTCAGAAGCTTTTTTCCCACTATGCATTGTTCCACCATTAAATCCTAATGATCGTATCTGTGTTGAATGTGTTTCAAATCTGTGGTATTTTCTTCAAGTGTATTTGAAATTGGGATGTCATATACCACTTACATCACCGGAGTGGGTGAACCATTATACAATTCAATTCGAGATTTGGTCGGACTAATTTATTGAAAGGATGCAAGAGCACACCAAATTGAACAACATTGAAATAGAAAAAATAAGGAAAAGTCAAAGGGGATACCACCTATAGATTTGGCAGGCGACAATTATTTCGGATCATTTAAATAGTTATTTATTATTTTATTGTATATGATATTTTGTTAATGTATTATGGTGTGGAATATAAACATTTTGTAGTTTGTATAATAATATCAACATTCAAGACATTTATGTGCTTTTGTTTCTGTTTTGTTTTTTTGTTTTAATATCGGAGAAGTTTTCAGAGATACATCTCAGGTACAAAATTAAGGGTGTTACCGAAGTTACATCTATGGTACATTCTCTGTCAGCAAATAGGATTTATGTGGTCCATAAGATCATCCAACTGCTATAAATAAACTCACTTGTGGTTTTGTTTCATACCAAAACATAAAAAATCAGCATGAACATCAAATGGCATGTTGAAAATATTCACTTTATCCATAATACATCATCCTGAGAATTTAAGGTCAACGAGTACACCCCTCTTGAAGATCTGCAATCATATTACATGAGCTCCTATCATATGGTGATAATCAAAAAATTGTGAGATCGAGTACCGTTCGTCATCAGTTGACAAAGAAAGGAATCTTGAGTTTACAAACCATGAGCTGAAGACGGACGCTGATTTACGGGCTATATAAATACGACTATTTTGAGATCGGTCGATGATATTATCAAGATGTTGCAACGTCCACCTGGATTTTGAAGTGTATTATTTGATCTATGTTAAAATCTCTTATGTATTGCTTATTTTACGATATCAATGGTGTTGGAATTTTGTGAAGTTGATGTATTTTATTTCTGTTTTTGCAGCATTCTATAACGAATTTTTCCAGAAATATAATACAGGTTTGATACCATAAATATATCTCCGAGAAATTTTGCGTTTTATCACATCTTGGATGCGTCCCGGAGATGCATCTCCAAAATCTAAGAGTATTTAAGTATTTTCGCGCGGTGCACTAGAAAAGCATAGAGTGTGTTAAGAAGTTCCCAAAAAGAGAATTTATAATAGGTCATAAATCAGACTCAGACCTTTAAAAGTTATCTTAAGCCAACCTCAAGTCTTTTAAAATCTGGCCTAATCTAACCTATTTTCACCCCTAGTTATTGTATCAAGTAGAAATAATGGATGTTAAAATTGATTCTGTCTCTAAGATATTCCTTAATAGATGTTAAAATTGATTCTGTCTCTAAGATATTCCTTAATAGATGTTAAAATTGATTCAGTCTCTTTGATATTCTTTAATGGATGTTAAAATTGATAAGAGTCTTTTAAGATATGAGATTTTAACATGCCACCTCCAAATTTATACATGGCACACTATGAAATTTCATAATGCCCAAAATGCCCCTTGTGATGAAAAGGAAGAGTATTCCGAACCAAATTTCTGATATAACTTTAAAATTTTCAATAAAGTCAAAATTTTCGGTAGTTCAATTTGAAAACTCTGGTACGATACAAATAATTTTTGAAATTTAACCATTCCCAATAACATACCGGAAATTTAGTTGAAGTTAAATTTCTGATAGGTTATAAAAATCTATTTTTTTCAACAGTTATGATTTTACCGATAATTTTGTAGGATTGTAATTGCACCGACAATTTTGTGTGATTTAGAACGCACCGAAAGTTGTATAAATAGGGGTCACCTATTATTAAAAAATAATCGAAATCGTAAAATATCTCTTCCACAATTTTTGGTTAATGCGACAGTGCACTTCACTGGAGCACAAGATCCTGTGAAGTTTTGGATTCCAGACAGATTTCTGGCCATCAAGTCACTGACGAAAAAGTTGAAAGAATTATTGCCTAATATTGATAATAGAAGGGTGACTAGGCACCTCCTCAACGGGTACCTCAACATTAGCATGCACCTCAACATCAACAGAAGACACCTCAATAGTCTCAGGAGACACCTCAACAGTCTCAGGAGCGGACACCTCGACAGCAGCCGGTCTCCACAGGAACATGTACCTCCACAGTAACAGATACCTCGTCAGCAATAGCCTCAGCACCTGCTCGAATTCTGGGTGCACAAAATCGACCTTGCACCTGCTCAACCATTTATTTTTGGTCTGAACCGGTTGAAACAACTCATCCAGCCTGATGCTGGGATGCCTATGCCTGCTCAGCCCTGACCTGCGTGGTAGTTAAATAAATAGACAACAAATTAATTTCTTATAAAAAAAATATAATAATTTATAAACTACAGAGATCATCTATATTAAATACATATATAATTCATAAGAATAAATGAGGTTATTTCGAATATGCATATCCAAAAAATCCCTATTTACGAAATATTGAGTTATCTTGAATATACATATCTAAAATATCTCGATATTGATTTATTAAGTTATTTTGGATATACATATCTGAACGAACTCCTAAAAAAATGAAATTTAGTTTGTTTGAACATGCATATCCGAATTTATGAAGTATTACGGAAATTTTACCAAAGACCTTTAAAAAAACATAAGGATGGATAAAGAAATCCCCTAAATCTCCATTGGAGTCTTTTTTTTTTTTTACCACCAAACTCACATTCCCCAGATAATTTATGCACTACCATCCACATTAAGAAAACATAAGAACAAAATTGACCTTTTTGCCTAGCAATTAATCGAGAGTCTGATTGACTGTACTCTCCTTATACGTAGCACTGAAAACACAAGTAAAATCATGAGGCATAGCCTGAGACCGTATTTCCATTCAAACCGCATTTTTTTACATCCTAGTTCAAAACCGGATGAACAATAACACCTACAGAACTTTACCCAAGTTTCTTCCAAACAAAAACTAATTTTCATTTCGATAGATGAAAATAGAGAGATTGCATTAAGATTTCAGTTCACTCTGCCATAAGGATCAAAATGGAAGGTCGTAAGTTATCGTTGATACCCAGCAAATATATTTACTTTTAAATAGTATGAAATCATTTTCAATATCATGCAACTAAAGACATCATTATAACACTATTTTTCATAAAAATAACTTATTTTGATAGTAATAATTATTACACTTGGCCACTGCCCAGTATATTTTTTTTAATGAAACACGCCTGCCTAGTAGCTGATAGAAAGTTACTCCACTAACTGGGAAATATTTATTACCACAACGGATAAATAGACAAGATACGGCATGATGTCGGAAGAAAAAGCTCCCAGGATTCCATCATATACAAATACCGCAAATACCAATCGGCTAGTCACTGACTAGATACAGCAAATGAAAGAATCAATACTTGTTCGAAGCTATATAACTCCTCACTCTTATTTAAATGATTTTATATCAACTCATCCTCTTCGTCTAGCAATGTGAACGAGAAAGGGTGGAACTTGTAACCATCTCCTTCGTAAAACTTGTTTTGGTACTCCACCCAGTGAAGCCTCAATGCGTGCAAGAAGGCACTCAGAGTTTCCATGACAAGTAACACTCCAACAGTTGCAAAAATGAAAACAAGGAGACCCACTATCAGGATAATCCAATTATTGTACCTGATATATCAGACGGAACAATTACAAATCATTCCCCACATTAATTATCAAGACAAAAGAAAATGCAACAGAAATTTCTAAACACAACATACCCCCATGCCATAAGCAGAACCTTCTCGTAGAATACAGTTGATAACTCTGAATGAGCAAGACTGGTATAAAAAGAAAAACATTAGTAAATGTATAGTTGTAGTTTAGCATATGCATAGAACAAATCTAAAGGTAAATAGACAAACAAAAATCATGTGAGGTTCCAATTTTGTATCACTTGTAGGGCTCCAGCATTATTGGTAGAATAGAACAACTGTGCCATTTATAGACATACCTAAGGGCCCACAGACGAAGGTAAGAAGCTGTATTAGATACTGCTCCAAGTACAAATTCTATAGTGTGTATGAGTTGATGTACAAAAATTTCACTGAACTCAAATTCCGCATGACCATGGGAATCGTGATTTGATTCCACTTGCAAGCTTTCCTCCGTGTTTGGAAGTGATGCATAGGATTCATCCATGTGCCTCTGAATTAACGTAAACATTAGATCGAGAGCAAAATGAAAGTTTCAAAGAACAAATGGAAAACATAATAAAAGCAAGCATACAGCTTCATGTTGTTTCTTCAAAATAAAGGGTTTTGGCAACAGCATCCAGGGCACAGCGACACCAGCCAGAAGCAGAAGCACGAGCTAGTAGGAACAGGACAGAGCATGTAAGTATTACTCATAGAAAAATACCATTAACAAGTTTTTTTTTTTCGGGGGAGGGGGATTGGGAGCTAACCAACCTGAACATTTTTCTGACCCTCAAAGAGTTGGTTCTCGCCTAAATCATCTGTTGGGCTCAGGAACATGTAGATCATTACGTGGTACAAATCAGCTTGAGAACCCGTGCACCACTTCACAATAATAAGGAGGGATAGGTAGCCAAATAGACTGTTAAGAAATATCACCTGGGGGATAAATTGGAACCTGAAAGAGTGATACATTGAAATAAAAATTATATACATCAATTTAAAATACGTAAGCAAGTTCATAGTAATAGAACGACTCGGTGATGATTACAAATGAGAACACCTGCAAAACTGCAAGGGAAAATTTTCAAAACCATTTCCAATGGTAAATGTTACCGTTCAAATGCATATTAACTTACCATACATTTACATGGTTCTTAAAGAACCTGGCATTGGCATAGCTCATTATAATTCCAAGGTTCATTTGAGCAACTCCAAGAAGAATTGACATCTTCATTTTCAAAGAATTTAGGAATGGTAATTCACTACGTGTACCATGCCATACAGGATCCACTCCAAAAGGGTAAGTGCGACGCGCTTTTATCAGCCCTATTGTGGTAGAATCCCTGCATCAAAAAGTATGTAAATAAAAGAACAGTTACTAATTCTCTAATAGCATAAAGGACAGTATTGATTTATAAATTAAGGGATTTGATTCACCTGCAAGAAAGGTCACGGCACTCATATGCAGAGGCGCCAAAGAGTTCAAATGGAACAGAAAAGAACTCGTTATAGATTAGGCCAGTGTAGATCGAGAAGAGTGACATCATGAAAATAACATAGCGACCCCCAAAAGTCATATCCGTGATGTCATCAAGCTTCTGCATTCACCCAAAGACTCAACGTTAGAAGACTGTTACACATACATTCATGAGAAATTTATGCAAGAGGAGCAAAAGTAATACAGAACACCCAGCAATGATTGTTGGCGAATTATAAATTGTAATATATCAATCTGAAAACTTTTCACAGCTGATCAAACTTTTAAATTTTCTGGAAAAATAGCAAAAATGAAATTATAGCCAGGCCTTAGTTGCATTAGTAATGGTTGGTGAAGTCCTTTTCAACGACTAAAAGGACCAGCAGTTGAACACTAATCCGCCTTCACAAAGGAGAGGGGACTAACTTACACACTAACATACCAAAAAAAAGAAATTTTAGCCTTCCTATTCTAAGGTAACTGTTCACTCTTGATGCCCGGTATTAGAGATATAGAATAGTTAGTCTGTTTTAACTAATCTAGCATCATCTAGAAGATAACTAATTCTATAAGTTAGTTATCATAGCTGTCTAGATAAGCTGCCACATGTCAGTTTGTAATAGGTATAACCTGCTATAGCAGGTAAACAGTCTGCAACTCTAAATGCAGTTGTTTCCCTCTTGTAACTAACATTTCAATAATGAAAAACAGAATTCAGAGAAAATCAAATATCTCTATGATTTCTATTACACGGTCTTGAAAGAAAAAAAGAACCCCAGATGCCCTCCTTAGACATCAATCAGCAACATAAGCATTAGAAAATTCATTAAACTATTGTACGTGATGTGCTGTATACTACGTAGGAGTTCTACATAGTTACAGAAAGATCGGTTACTAAAGACCACATTAACACAAATGAGGCTACCTAAGCTTTTTCATTAATCAACAAGTTAATGTTTCTAGGAATGTCAATTGAACTCAGACCGGCTTAAATGGGTCTGGTGGGTTTAACCACCTAAACTTTTTGGGAATGGGCGTAGGCTTAGTTAATAGGTCGATTCTGTTTTATATATAATTAGGATTTTAAAGTTTTTTGCACATTTTTGGAGTTGCATGAGATGTTAAACTACTACAAATTTGAACAAAAATGCATAGTTAATTTTAAAAAAAAAAAGACATATTAAGGGAAAATATACTCCATTTAACAAAATATGTGCAACAGATCTACGAGGGTCATGATCCAAATAAAGGTTATTTTCCTAAATGTGAGTATGGAAACAAGTATTTTAGAGTACCCAATCCAAATAATGCCCATTGTCCTCCCTGAATGTTTCAAGATATACACTAGCCATGCAAAGCGCAAAAGAGATACTCATGCATACTCTAGAAAGGTGGAAATACTCTACCTAATTTTCTTCATTGAAGTGTATAATCTTGCCTTTTATATGCCTTTAAAAGGATGGGTTTACAATAAAAACTAAAAGAGTACCTGGCTAGAAAGTTTCTTCTCCCTGATTATGAAATATAGAGCTGCCAGTAGTAAACATATTCCATGCCCCCAATCACCAAACATTACAGCAAAAAGAAATGGAAAGGTAACTACAGTAAACACAGTAGGATTTGCCTCTTGATATTTAGCAACCCTGAAACGTTCATATAAAAAAATTCAAAATATAAGATGCATGTCTTTCAAAAGCAGAAGTAAAAACAAATTCATTATTTGTTAAGATAATTGCACCATCGCCTAGCTCAATGCTAAAACAGTGGTATTGATGATGACCTCCAAGAAGCTCAAAGACAACAAGAGAGTGTAATCATTAGAAGTAAAACTAAGAGACTTCAAATGGAGATGGAAGGAAAAGTTGATTCTTTGTTGGGTGTGAAACTTGTTGAAGACTCTATTTTACTTAAAATGGGATAGATAACCAACATTGGTAGTGCAAGGGTAAGGATCCCATCTCACAAATGAAAATGAATGACTGCAAAAATGACTGACCTACCCATACGCTAATCAGGACCAGCAGCTATAAACATCATTTTTGTACTATATGAAAATACATACTCTGTCTTGTTTGGTGCAGAACATAGGATACGAATAAATAAGGTAATAGAGTCAGATAACAGCCAAATTAATAAGATACAAACCTTATAAGATTGTGGTAGTCAAGGTGCATTGAAAGTGGTCGCATGTTAACCAGTGGGGGCCGGAGAGTATCGGCGGCAACGACAATAAGGTTTTGAGCAGGTTTAGTGAGGAGTGAAGCAGTGGTAGTGGTGTTGAGCGGAAAAGGAGGTGGAGGCAGGGAAAGGTGTCACAAGTTGTGCCATTTCTAATTGCTATCGTACCCTGCCTATTTATAACCCATTTCCGTTCATAGGATAAATTTGCACTAATAAGTAGAATAAGATAAGCCATTGGGATAATCGAATCATATCCTATTGGCTCAACAAACACTTGATATAATAGGATAAGATAGTATATTATATTCTATCGTACTTATCATGGCCACCAAATGAGTCCTATATACTAGCACAAAGAACTTAGGGCAAACATATTACGTAAATGTGATTGTGCAAACAATATGTATGTTGCACTGCATATATTACATAATAAATAAATAAGTACGCTGTACATCTCCTGTTTCCACAAGCACGATACAGATAAAGGGAAAAGAAATAAGTACAATGCTCACCCATATGAGTCTATAATTCCTTGATACGAAGACGTAAATTTGTTCGTGCGAAAGTAGGTAGGTGGCAACTCTCTGGTATGCAAAACTTGCAAAATAGCACTGACTTGGGAGTTAGAGTCCTTTGAAGCCCGCTGTAATGCATCTTGGACCTGAAATATCAAGGTAACATGCTCATTAAAATCATTTTACAGTAACCATATTGACAGTATTACCACTGGCTAGACAAAATGAAAATCAATTATAAAACAATGGAACGCGGGTACAACAAATACCTGCTTTGTTGCAAAAACGGGACTCCACCCCTCAGCCACTAGACATTTTTTCGTCACATCAAGGCTCAGCATGTTCAGGGTATGGTGGATGGATTTCTCCTTCCTCACCTTCACGAGTTTGAAGAAATGTTGTCAAGATTCAAGAGAAAATAATCATTAAAAGAAAAATATTAATCTACAAATAGTTTTTATTCCCTCCACCCCACAATGACTGTCACATTTGTACCCAAGGAAAAAGTCCCAAAATGAATGTCATTTTCAGTTTTCAATAAATTTAATTCCCCACCCCAATTGTACCCTCTAATTAATAACTAATAATTTAACACTATTTGCATCACTCCCAAATGGTTAAATTCCACTTTATATTTATAATAATGGCAAATACAGTAATGCTTAATAAGGATAAATAGAAAAAAACTACCATTCTCTTTCTTTTATTTATAACATTTTCTTAATTGGTGTGAAAGAAGTAATTGTAACACTCTTTGTGAGATGGAGGGACTATATTGGAGGATAAAAATTAACAATTAATACTAAAAAAAAATGTGATGTAAAGGTAGACGGACAGACTACGTTCATCAGGTGCATAACACAGAATATTGTTAGTTTATGTTTTGACAAACCAAAAGATTCCATTGCTCGAATTGAGTCCCAAGATTTTCCAGCAAGTTAACTCGGTGCAAAAGTCCAGCATCTATGGTGGTCTTCAATTCCGTAAGCCTTCCAGAAACCTGCAGGTCCATTTGTTAAAACTGTTTAGTCATATACCCAAAGTTATAAAGTTGCAGAAACTAATAAAGGACAAGACGTCTTATAAATAAAACATAAGCAACTTAGCTAGATTAGTGTCATTATTACATATAATAAACTGAAAAGATAATGCTACCTGCGAGCACTATATTGATTATTAGTATTTTCAAACAATCTCTTTCACTGATACGAAACAATTAAAGAACACAATCAGAGCAATGCAACTGAGAAGGAAGAAATATCTAAGTACTACAATCAGTCCATCAGAAATTGCTCGGACTAATTCAGCACATTCAACTAACATGACTATGCTTGTGAACAAAAAAGTTAGTCTGTGTAAACAACACAATCAAAAAGACATTACAAGTACTCAATATTCACAGTATGCAAGGACGGTTATGAAGACATTTTTAAGGAAATAATTCTTACCTACCTTTTGGCTGATGTATTATGTATATGCAATTATGCACTCACTCAATATCTAACAGTTAAGAAAGGTGTCTCGAAAAACTTAGAAACTGAGCCTATCCTCTCTTGGCCCCCTAGGGCCACAGTTGAGGCTAACGATCACTGCTACAAGAGTACTTTTTAGTTTATTTTCATGTACTTATGCAAGGGAAGGCTGCCTCCTATCTCTAATGTCAAGGTCAAATATTACTAAACCATATCCCCCACTCCCACAAATAAAATGTAATGACATGCGTGTCCATACATAATCTATGAATTTATATCCATTTGATTCCAAGCAATTGATTTGTATGTACTGCTGTAAAGTAGTACAGCAGAAGCTTGAGATAAAAAGTCAGGGTAACATGGAGGCAGATAAAGAAGCTTTTCCTCAATAGAAATAACAATCAATATGCATACCTCTGTAATCATTTGAGCTTGTTTTCCAAGTTCCTCAGCAAACGGGTATCGATTGGCACCAAAGGCATCACAGATTTTCAGAATCTTGGCTTTCACTTTTTCACCGGCGTAAAAGACGACAAAAACATTTTTCTCAGTCTGCAGGTCAGCATCCATAAGTGAGCAAAGAATAGAACACAAAACTGGATATTATATTTCAACAGGCAAAGTTTTATTCAAAAGAAAATGCAGAACCTCACTATTATGTTTTAATAGAAAACACAAATTTATAGGTAGGGTGCTGACAAATATTAGATGCATAATTTAAAAAATCATATAGCTAGAATCATATAGATGGAGAGGTTATCACTCAATGATCACCTCCATCTCAATTTATGAGCGTTAAACATGGTCCGCAACAGCAGAACTCACTGTTACATACTATATTTTATAGACAAGGGGAACACAGGTAAGAACCTTTTCTCCAGAAACAGGGTCTGTAACCGGATCCTCAACAGCAGTCTGCCTCAAAAATACATTGCCTCTAGTAGCACGAAATAAAATTCTCTCAAATGCCATGGACTTTTCCCTGGGAACGAGACCAGCTAAAAATCCCAACTTAACTGCCTTTGATGAATCACCTGGTAACTCCTTTATAACAAAACAAATTGCAGGATTAGATTCATTAAATGAAGGTTGTCCAACATTATACGAGAATAAAGTTAGATATGAGCAGGTAAGATCTACTTGGTCTTGTAATAAAGGTGCTTCCATAGAATCTCCACTCAGATGGCGTGATTCATATTCTCTTTGCTGCTCTATGGCACGGCTTTGAGCTGAGTGGAAAAAGTCACCAGCCTGAAAAGGGGGAACAACTATTCATTGATTCACCTGCCATAATTAAGATTATATATATCTAAAAGACAGATTTTCTATAAAATGACAAGTATACAATATCAGCTAAACCATACCCACTTCTTAAATTTGGAGTGGACATATTAATCTTTAGCATTCAGAGAAGAATTGAGAATAATTACTAATCTAATAGAGATTTGACAGCACCCAAATCAATATACAGAAACAATCAGGTAGACCCAAACCAAATTATATTATAATCATTATTCAATCTTTAGTATGTTATGTCTCTTTTTAGCTTGCAGAAATACATGCATTGGCACATTGGCAACTCAGCTTTGCCTATCAGTCCTAGCTTCAGACAACCATGCAACAACTACTTAAGTGAAATTTATCCTCAACGCAATAATTTAAACAAGGATTGGGAAAATTGTTAGTTAAGAAACCCACGAGCAAGCACATGGAAATAAATTGAGTTTGACTTAGGACTACAAAGGGCGGAAGAAAAATATGTTTGAAAGTCTCTCAGTTGAAAATATTTGATTTTGTTTAATTTCAACAAAAGAAATGGAGCCTTGGTACACCGAATGCAATTGCTCGTGTGTGATTGGGAGGTCATAGATTTGACTTGTAAAAATGGCCTTTAGTAAAAACCCACATTAACATCGATCCTTCATTGGACCCCACCATAGTACGAGCTTATAGCACCAGGTTGCCCTTTTTTAAACAAAAATACCCTTTCAAGTGAATATTCTCTTTCTGCAGCATTTTTGTTATAAGCTTTCTCGATACAAAGTAAGACAATCTAAGCACACAGTGGGCGAAAGTGAAACACATTCTAGTTCAACAATACAAAGAGATATTCATAAACATTCTCAATTTCCCAACGTAATTAAAGAAAAGTAATCAGATCACTTTTTTATGTTATTTTCATGAATATACATCTTGAAAGGTCGCAGTAACAATACGGGCCACTTAAAAGAACAATTAGGCTAAATGCATTAAGCAGCAGATAATTATCACTGCTCTCTCTTTATTATGCATAATCTTTGAATAAAAGACACATAATTGTTTATGGCATAAATAGAGAGTAAACTGTACCTTCTGCAGAACAAGCTTATACTCAACAAGTTCATTGTATGTGCGTTGCAACTTTTCACCATTTGCATTCATCTCAGTTAACTCAGACTCAATTTCTGAAAGTTTTATCTGTTACAAGCACATGATATGTCAATTTCCAAAATAAATTAAGAGGAAAACAACCTTGTCAATAAATGTATTCACATACCTCAAGGTCATCGATGTTCACATCAAACTGTGCTGTGGAACCTTTTGGTGAAACACCTGCCTTAAACATTTGCTCCTTGAAGAAACGCAATCTACGAGCCATCTCTCCACATCTTTTTATCTGTACAAGGACCAATATTTATCCCCCAAACATATTCAGAAGCAAAATATCAGTATCTTTTTGAAAAAACAAAAATTTACAAAAATATAGAGAGAAAAATACGATAAGTTTGGAGGACAACAAATCGTCCATATTGGAAGAAGAAAACACAGCATCAATCATACATGAATATAAGCAGCAAAAGCAAAACTTATGCTATATCAGATCAGTTGTTGTGCCAAATAAATTTTCTTAAAGATACAAGTTATGCTCCAAAGTCCAACCATACATGAATATGCAGCAAAAGCAAGGATGAGGCAGCGCAGACAAGATCAGCAATAACCAATATGCACTATTTATCATCATCACTTAAAACTTCCCCACAAGAAAAACATTATATTCAGGTTCCAGAAGCTAGCAAAAGAAGAAGTGATTTATGATGGCAGAAAACAAACGCACCTGAGTTGCATAAGTTCGTTGAAAGGGGCTCTTCTCTGAATTGAGCTGAAAATATCATAAGAAATAACACATTACGCTTAGATAAACCTCTCAAGCAAGCTCATCATCATGCTTCAATTTAAAGAAATTAGAAAACGAGAACACATAATTGCTTGCTGGAAAATTCATGCTTCCATTATCTGTTCTACGAATACAAACATAAACCTAACCAAAAGAAATCATTTAAAAAAATTACAATAACAGTATAATACAAAATTGAGATCTCCTAATGTGAAAATTCTACAATCAAAGACTAATTCCACCAATGATGTAAAAATCCTCGGTGATGAAGTTCAATAAATTAATCAATTCTCATGAAAAACATCATAATTAAAATTTCGAATAAGCCAATTAAGTACGACAGTGTGTTTAAACTCTTTAACGTGAAAAACAAGTTGCAGATCAAACTAAGCAGATTAATAATCTCAAACGATCAATCGATAATCCAGCAATAAACACAAGGATGAACCCTAATCAAAATCTAGTAACTAAAAAAACGAAAACGAAGTGAGGTAAGGTTTATCGATGAAGAAATTGAGGAAATGATGAATACTGACATCTTTAAACTGAAGAAGGCCAAGGTCACCGAGGTATGAAACAGTGCAGTGAGCGGATTCGATGGGAATGATGAGCTGAATCAGTTGCATCGGCTCCGAACGGAACAGATCCATCGGAGGACAACAACCTCCACGCGCTACCTCTCCCATTCTTTCCGCGGCGAATTCGATTGATTCAGATAAGACGGAGAATCGAGACGAACACCGATCTCAGTCTCAGCTACGGCCTCAGAGGAAGTTTCTCCTTCTCTCCTTCTTCTACGTCTCTCTCTAACCTCTATTATTTTTCCCTTTGTTTGTTGATCAGATTGATTCAATTTTGATTTTTTTTTTCAGATTTTTTTATCTGGCACAGAAATTATCAATATTGTTTTATCAATAAATAATAATAATGAAAATACTGCTTTTAGTTTTTTTTTTCTACCCACCCGGTGGATAACAAGGTACATGTTCATTGTTTGGTATTCTTTTTTAAAGGTATTTTGACCATATATGCTTTTAAAATTAAATTATATCTATTTTTTAATAAAAATATCTTTCAAAGAAGAAAAAAAACACTAATTTTTTACTTTTATGTAAATAAAATAATGGGTCATTGTTAAAAATTCTAAATAAAAATTATTATATATTGAACCCATTGAATATATATAATATTTTGTAAAAAAAATTAAATATTTATATTTTTAATACAATTAATACATATATTTTAAAAAAAATTCTATCTTTTTTATCTATTAAAGAATGTACACTTTATTTATTTTAATCTTTTAACCAATGCTTCGAAGACACTCATTAACGTTTTTCTAAAATAATTTATTAAAAGTTCATGTAAAAAATATTAATATTAGTGTTCGATTTAATAATAGATAAAATTTATATATAATTTGTTAAGTAGTTTTTATTATCTTTCAATTAAATATTATAAATATATAATTTCTTCTTATATATAATTTTTGTTTGTTTTCACTTCTTAAATAATATTTAAATACATTTATAATATTTTAGTAATTGACATTTAACTTAATATAAAAGACCACGATTCAAATTATCTATCACTCCAAAAAAAAAAAAGTTAAAATGACACAATATCAAAATTATTCCCGAAACTAAATTAAAAAGTTCTAGCGAATTTGATTTTGACAGTAAAAACAAAAGAAGTGAAATATGAGGTAATTAAATATTTAAATTATGTGAATAATAAATTATTTTTAAAAATTGAGGAATCAAAACTTTATTATTTTTTTAATTAAACTAACTTAAAATGCATTTTAAAACTAATATGTTATAATATCCGCAAAACTTTAAACATATTAAAATAAAAGAAGACTAGATTTAGAGACATAAAAATGATTCAATGGAAAGAAAAAAATCAAAAAATAATAAATTATTTTAAAATCAACCCAAAAGGGTGAAGAAACCACAATCAAATTTAAATATGAAGCAAACAAATATGTAATATATCATACCCACAATCTAACAAGCTTTTGTATGGGCACGAAACACACTTGCAAAAAGATGTTGTGTAAATGTTCCTCAGCGGCAAATTTGGCTTTTGAAAATTGAAGATTGAACTCAACCCCAACACAAAAACAAAGACATTCACTAATAACTCATTACAGCAAAGTGACAACAACAAGCAGCGATTTATGGTAACCTAAAACCCTAAGATGCATCCAGATCATGAAGTCATAGCTCTATAGGGCAAAATAATTCAAAATAAAATTGGGTCAAACCTATACATGAAACTAGAAATTTAGTCGCACGTGAGACGAAATTAATCACGACATAACACATTGTAAAAGTAGGAACCTAGAACTAAGATATATGTTGATGAAGCATGCTTGAAACAAGCAATTGCCATCGTGGAAAGAGACATCGTTATTGGTTACATGTTGGATCAGATTTAAAACTAAAACGTAAACGATCTAAGACCACCGACAATGATGAAGGTCAATATCGACCGATCTGCACCTAGCAACCCCATTTGAATGAAAGGTGATGCAGAGAATCTTGACAACAACATTATTTGCATAATCCCATTACACCACCATCTGAAGTTATATCTTGGAAGTAGAATTTGGATTTGGAATGAAAGAAAGGGACTTAGTAGGGTGAAAGGCTTATCAGGTCAAGGAGGAAAGCCTTTGATCTTTAAAAAGATCCAAGAATAAAAATTAATTGAAGAAAAAAATTACATCAAAATGATAAATATTTTTATAATATAAAATCTATTTTAAATTAGATAAGATTCAATTCAATTTTTTTATTAAAATATGATTGGTGGATAATGTTCTGTCGTGGAACGAAAATTGTGAATGAACTGATGTGGTGGACTCTTAACTTGATGGTGCTAGTCTCTAGAGAGGTTACACAGGAACGAACCTATAAAGTTATCGCTAAAACACTCAAGTCAGTAAATATGTCCAAAAAGGAAGACAAAGTGAAGTATGGAAAATGTGTGTGCACCTTGAGTCTTATGCATGTCTTATGCATGAATACATACATATATATATATATATATATATATATATATATATATATATATATATATATATATATATATATATATATATATATATATATATATATATATATATATATATATATATATATATATATATATATATATATATATATATATATATATATATATATATATATATATATATATATATATATATATATATATATATATATATATATATATATATATATATATATATATATATATATATATATATATATATATATATATATATATATATATATATATATATATATATATATATATATATATATATATATATATATATATATATATATATATATATATATATATATATATATATAATCGGTTTACTGGTTTTGATCAGTTTTTCCTGGTTTCCACTGATTCAATAACATATCTGGTCCAACAATCAGATCAGATCAGTGACTCCTCTAGTTCCCGGTTCACTGGTTAAAATCAATTATCGTTATAAAGAGAGTGTTATCCAGAATAATAAAACCCAAGAATGGTGTTTCTTGGATTTGAATCCATGACCATTCAATTATTTCACAATGGTTGTTTCCATAAACTATAGTTATAAGTTACGCATTATCTAATTTATAACAACGGTCTCACGCCCGTTGTGATAACCAGCATACATACAATCACACGCTACCTAACAACAAACCCGTTATTGTTATTATATGTGTTTCCCAACTGTTGTTATGTGTGTTTTCCTTAGTAGTGTAAGTTAGCAGTTTTTTTTTAGGTTTAAATACTACATATTTTTGTTCGGTAACTTCAACTCAAATTCTTTTTTAGGTTAGTCTTCTTTGTCTATTATGTTAGTCAAAGTCAATTAATAAGATTATATGGCATTAACATGGAATGTCACGTGGCTTAGGTAAATTTTGTTATTGATTTAGCGACTGAAAATCTTGTCACTAAAAATATTGTATTGCTTTTAATTATTTTTCTTCATCTTTTTCCGCAAACCCATAAAATCCAAAAAAATAAATTCCCATGGGGTCCTTAATCATAGGTTGCTTCTTTCTGCCTTTCTCCCTTTTGTTGATTCATGTTCAAAGAAACCAAGAAAAGATATCTGATTCATTCACAATCTTAAATTGTAGATTTTATTCCAATAATCCACAATGTGTTTTTCAAAGAGGTTCATGATACGCTTCTTCTAATCAAGCTGCAGTTAATTTTAAATTTTTCGATTTTGGGATTCAAGATCAATAAATTTTAAGAGCTTGGCATAAAAATAATGGTTTCTGTGATACGGTGGGAGAACTGACTCGGGTCGTTTTTACGTTTTGATCGTAAATGTTGCAGTTAGCAAGAGCCATCACTAACTTTTCTTTTATCCAAAAAGAAAGGTGAAAAGCACATAAAAGACCTTTAGAGATGTTTTCTTGAATTCGGGGGGTAGATTATGAAAAGGAAAGGTGTTAGCACCCTTTTCATCCATGGTTTTTCCATGGGCTCTTAGTTGCTTGCTAGATCACTTGCTTTTGTTTGAATGTGCTTGTGGTGTGGATTTTGAAAGTATTTTGAAAACGTCTTTGTAATAGCTCTCGTCTCTATAAGAACGCGTACAAAGTGTTTGTTTGGAAAATAGTTCAAAGATGTGTTTGTGAAATGTGTTTTTTTAAAGTGATTTTGAAAAGGTGTCTTTGTAATAGTTCTCGTCTCTATAAGAAAGTGTACAAAGTGTTGTCTTTCGAAAATGTTTCAAAATGAAAGTGTTGTTGTATAAAAATGTTTTTGTTGTGAGCAAGCGAGTAACTAGGAGCAAATCTACCTACTCAAAAAGTCTTGGATGTTCTTTTCCTCCTCCTTTAGATGTTGTTATCTTACCATTGATTTGGTAAGAAGACCCATCGTTGGATGTGAAGGGACGGGCGTGGGACGTTTGTATAATCCTAGAAGGCAACCTATGAGACGTTTTAGCAATGTCATTTTAGGGACTAGATCGTTTACCGAAGGCAACATTGAGGGTCATCGAGAGACTACGATCTTTTATCGAGGATCTTTGCTAAAACGCCCATATCCGAGGGACATGAATATTTTTCTGATAGGCCACAAAGTGGGATTACCCTAAGGGTGCTAGTGTGCAAGTGTGTTTGATTGCATTCATTTTAGTCTTGATTAGGGTGATCTATTTGACGATTTCACATCTTGCCATACACACCCTAATTACTAACAATATATGAAAGCAATAAAAGTGCGGAAAGTAAAGATTCTACGCTATTACAATCATTAGGGGGATAGGGTGTACAAATTTACAAATGGGGGTTTTGCAAGAAAATAAATCCTAATTATTTATTACAACCATATTGAAATAATAATGCAAGAAAGAAAAAGGATTTTGTTTAGAAATAATGGTTTTTTGTCTTAATGAATTAAAAGGAAATAAATTAATTAATAAGAAGGAAATATTTTTATGTCTTTTGCATATTAATAAAGAAAGAGCAATGATATGAAAACGATAAAAAAGAGATAGAAACAGCATGCTGCTGCAAACAAAATAACAAGGATCAGAAGTTCTGAAGCCAGGCGCGTTGTGACTCAGAAAGGAACGTCACTGGGAATCAGGAAGTTCTGGACTGATACACTCTGAGGTCCTGCAAGAAACGTTAGAGGGAAAATACAGAAT